CGAAGCTCCACGCAGAGCATCTCCAGTTTCTCCCATCAGAAGTTCTATATAGACAGACACCAGGCCCCACATCACAGGCTCAATGCAGACAGACACCAGACCACATCACAGCGCTTATGCAGACAGACAACCAGACCCCACATAACGTATCTCATGACTTGCAGTCGCCCCCCCCAACACACATATCAAGCGTTCCATACATGCAGTCCTCCCCCCCACACACATATCACAGGTTCCATACATGCAGTCACCCCCCCCACCACACACACACATATTACAGGTTCCATACATACAGTCACCAGTTCCCCCATCACAGGCTCTATACAAACAGACACCAGTCCCCCCATCACAGACTGCTATCACACAACAGACACCCAGGCCCCACTATCCAAGACTCTATACAGACAGACACCAGGCCCCACATCACAGGCTCTATACAGACAGACACCAGGCCCCATATCACAGGTTCCATACATACAGCCACCAGCCCCCACATTACAGACCCTATGCATGCAGCCATCGGCCCCACATCACAGGCTCTATACAGACAGACCCAGACACACATCACAGTCTCCATACATGCAGTCACCCCCCCCACACCACACACACACAGCACAGCACACACAACACAGGCTCGATACAGACAGGACACCAGGCCCCACAAACACACCACTATATATTATATATACAGTCACCAGCCCCCCCCGCCACACGCAACACAACCATCACAGGCTCTATAACATACCAGCTCACAGTCCCACATGCACAGGCACACTATATATATATAATTGCAACAAACAACTTCCGGCTGCCATTTAGCCTCATATCCCCGCATCTATCGTCCTGTCGCGTGGCTCTCAGCATCCCAGGTCGATGTTACAGCATCGCCTGTGGCTATGACAGCGATCACGATGATTTCCCACGCGTTGTATAAGGGAACCTGTGGGGCTGGATGTGTGCCTGCTTGTCATGTGATGTGCGTGGACATAAACATGACTTGACACGCGTCTCTTCGTGAGGCATGATGGGCAGTAAGAGCCCTACCCCGCGCTAGCCTTGTTGTATAATGCGGGCTCTGCCTCTCGCGTTAAGCGAGTAGCTATCGATCTGGAGAGACCGAAGACGGGTGTCAAGCCAGCACATGCACCGACGAGCGGAGAGCGCATCTTCACGCGATCACGTAAGACATACCAGTATCTAGTTAACCCCTTCACAGGGCAAGCAACTCACTACAGGTGTTAGTTATACTGCTTTAGCTGTTCAGCTTCATCGTGATATATTTCTGTATCCCAGCGACACACGCCTTGTGTTGGGATTTTGTGGCACCATCTTTTAGTTCACCTTCAGTCTGTTGACTAAGGGCCGAATAAAAAGCCCGGGCCTATCCCGCCGTGCGTGAAACTTTTAGTTCAGCTTGTTCTGCTGTTTTATGTGGTGCTATTTTCTTGTGTGACACCTATACTACAACCAGTGGTCCGAACTCATTTCGTCGGTCCAAACTAGACGTAAAATGTTGCATTGGTCGCCGGTGACCAGGATTGTAGTTCCGTAGACTGAGTTGCAGCTGAGCAGTGTTCTGAAAGGTAGCAACACATCAGTCCCCGCGAGCTGAGTCCACGAGTATAGCTCGCCTGAACCGATGTCGGGAGATTTCGTGCTTACAAGTGTCGTTCACTGAGCTTTTGCTTGTTGGCACTGTCGCTCCAGCCTACTCATACCTCACTTTGTATTACGAAGGAGAGCATGATGCAGACCTCCCATAGTCTTGACACGGATGCCAATGACTACCCGATATGGGCAAGCTAGAGGAAAAAGAACCCGGCGAGCACATGCGTTGCCCCGTAGTTCTACCTCGCTTGTGAGGAGAAGGGGTTCGTGCTCCAACACGATGAATAACGAAGGCAGAGCTACTGCTGGGAGCTCGGCAGATGAGGCCAGGGGAAGGCGCTAGCCGCACCACCCGAGCCGAGAGCCACCTCGCACGCTCCAAGCTCGGTGCTTACGGGCATCCAAGGAATGGAGGGAGAGTCTCGCTTCTCGAAGGCACATTCCCCTTCGTTTCCCCTGCGGAGTAAGAGTGCGGTGAAAACGTTTCCGCAACCTCAGTTACCGGGTAAGAGGATGAGCGTGCAGAAGCCAACCGCACAGCAACAGGCTCAGGGCTGCCGTTGACGTTAGCTGAGTCAGCGCGAGACTTCCTCTCCTGTGTATGCTTGGCGCGAAGATCAGACGAGAGAGACCACTCCACGCTCGTAGACCTCGAATGCATGTAGGGCCAGGATGCAGGCAGCAGAGCGTCGGAAACGAGTAGGCGCGGGCCAATTGTGCAGCTCGCCTTGCAGGACGCTGCAACTCCCAGCTTCAGGATATCTGGCACGGCCAGAGCTGCTGGCAATTACCATAGAGTTAGGTTGGCGGAAGTATAAGTGTTCCTATTGACCGGCTGCAGAGTTTATCGTCTCCTTGACTACGCAACCTAGCCAAGCACTACCTTTTGGCGGCGCTTGCCCTGCATCAGGCAGTGACTAGTATGGTGGACGCAGCAAGCGAAGGGAGATAATCAGCGGTGGGGGAACTGCGGACGGACCTCGTACGCTTCACGAAGGAATTACTCTCATGCCTTATAATGGTGGTGGACAGACGCTCCGTGGTGGAATCCTAGGAATGGAGCTTTCTGCGAAAAGTCAACTGGTCGGATGGATGTCGGCGCGAGACGGTTGTGCCTTGATGACATACCTCTGCAAATTGCCCATAACCATCAGACAATGCAGCACAGAGTGTTAAGGGCAAGCACCCTCACGACAAATTGCCCCCGGTCACTGGTCTGCATGAACCCGAGGTGATGTAGTCGCTGACCTCTGGCCAGTGGTAGCGTAGCATCGTAGAGCCTACGTATGGGTTTCAGAAATGTTATCGTAAGAGGGGAGCGAGAATGCGCGAGAACTTTTGGTCATACCCAAGGCCGTGATGTTCGCCTCTGGAAGCTAACCCTGCGCCTCCTGTACGCCCTAGGTCGTACATCCGGTAGACAGAAACTAGCGTGGATAACACCGGGTCGCCCGGTGTCAATAGGCAGTGCGTACTCGTAGAAGACTGCGGCACAGGCGGAGGAGGAGATGGAGATTCACGCGCATATACAGAGACTCCTTGATGGAGTTGATCTGGACGCCGGAGAGAGCCGCGTGCAGAAATAGGCAAGCACGCTATGCACGTAATGCACTCTGTTCACCCGCCTGGGAAAGGACTAGGCCAATACTGATCTTGCGAGGGCATAAGATGATACGAGGGACCACCTTCCTATTAACAAGCCCAGACCGGTGGCCTTCGCAAAGAGAGAAGTGATGGACGCAGAATGTGGCGAAGATGTTGGAGGCAGGCATGATCTAAGCCTAGCAACAGCCCCTGGGCCGTCTTCTGATGGTCCTGCGTGACAAGAAGGATGGAAGCCGCGTTTCTGCATTGAACTACCGGCAGCTAAATGCTGTAACGGTAGAGGAAAGGCAAGAGGGAAAGCTGGGTACACCTTGGCAAGGTCCGCTCCTCAGTGGCAAAGGAGAGGACGCCCTTCGCTGGGTACAAGGCGCCAGGAGGAGATCCGCCGCATGTGTTTGTGGCCGTCGACGATCTTAAGCCTTACGAAGGAGAATAGTGTGCCGGCCGGAGCCATGGCCGCGTTGGGCAAAGCGCAGCCGTCATCCCTCCGGTAGAAACATAAAACAATTAAAAAAAAGAAAACAAGAGCACTCAGGACGGCTCTGAGGAATCGACGTGCATACCAGCCTAGATCTGGAGTTACGTGCGGCTGCAGAGGATCGTGAGTAGACTTGCGACGTAGATGAGGACGCGGGGATCCCTGACGATGCTCATGCCGTAGTCTGGCCGTGTACGCCTTTCCGCGGCCCACGACGACGCCAGAGGCTACGAGCAGGTGTTATCTTGGCCAAGCACATCTGACCGCCGCTCAACGAGCCGCCGCGAGCCTCCTCATAGCGTCATCTACTCTGGGCGCAAAGCCACGGAAGCCTGAGAGGTAAGTCGCCCGGGTGAGTGTTGCTCCTCGATCAGGCTAACGCTTGGAGTCAGGCCAGCGCTCAAGGTCACCCTGCACGGTCCGTTGTAATTCCGTGAGGCCTGTAACTAACCAGCACATGTTTAGTAAATACTTGCGGAGACAATACCCTAACACTTACGTAAATGTACGCGCTGGCTGCGGGAGAGTATGAGTACTTAGGGTTGCATTTCTAGACGAGTCGTGGGCAGATAGTCTGATGCGCTTCTCCTGACGTTACGAGTGCATTAATAGCGTATCAGATCCGGGTAGAAGAGTCACGCTTCTTATCACGGCAGCGATGTTACCAGGTCGCTGGGGTCGCTGGGTCGTCGAAAAGGGGTGGGGCAATACCGTCGTGGCCCTGCCGACACTGTGGAAGGGGTATATCGTTCTACAGAACCACCGCACCTCTGCACCGATATCGAGTTTCGCTCACAGAATATAGGCAACCACTAGTTACAACAGCGCGTAAGTATGAT